AAAAGTAGTAACTCTCTAGTAACACCTCTAATCTTCGGTTCTTACCTAACTCATTTGTGTTGCAAGTGCCGTGAAACTGTTACGAACCAAACCAAACAACATAATCTACGTCTTGTAGCCTAACTAAATTAATTTTCGCTGGCGATACGCCGACACCTTGACATGTTACAGCCAGTGCACACTCATTGCAGTCAGATTCATTTGATGGAGTCGGGGCCAGAAGGATTATGTATGGAGCATGAGGGTCCGGTGGGGGAGGAGTTAGTGCGCTCGTCTCCGAAGCGGAAAGTCCGGGTTCGAGCCTCGGTTCGGACGGAGACGGATTTTTTTCGCCCCTTCGTGCCCACCCAGGAGTAATGGGTACCTGGCTTCGAGTTGGGGAAGTAAAGGCGGCGTGGAAAAGAACTGGCCACCGTATCACAATATGCCGAAAGCCCAGGAAGTTATCTCACTAATAAGGCAATCCCCCATGGTCCGGATCAGATGCGGGAACAACTTTATGGGGCAAAAGGTACCATTTTGGCACAACACGACCGATTCGACTGGTGACATTGAGTAACAATGGAGTTTGATTTTGAAAGTCACCTTAACTTAAAATATATTTGAACTCGATCTTATGGTACCAAATAGAAAGCTTTTGCCTGCGGCATAGATCTAATAATTATTCTGTATTGTACAATGCGTAACGTCTCGTTTATGCCCCACCCTCGAATGAAAATTTTGGCTGGCTCCAACTCATTGAAAATTGGATGAATCCGACAGTCAGTGTGCCCTGGGTTTTACAGAGACACATGCTATATCGAGACGAGACGAAAAAAAAAGTTGACAAGGAGAGCGGGTTGTATTTTGGATTACAATGTACATTGACATGTAGATCTAATACCACGGTGGTGTTTTTGGTGGGGTGTGTTGGTTGTGTGCGTGTGTTTATGGCTTTTTCCTACATGGATCAAATTACTGCAGAAGTTTCTCAGATTCTGTTCGAGGAGAGAGAGAGAGAGGGAG